ACGACCCCGCCCTCAAAAAAAAAATTAAAAAAATTCTGGGCTGTTTTTTGGCCCGCCCTGTTTGCCCGGGCGACCTGCCCGGGCCCCGCCCGGCCGGGCGTTAATAACACAGGTCCTTATGGTCCTGGCTCCTTTTCCATTCTGGGGAGCATCAGTCCGGTTCCTTTTTCTTCTCTTTTGCCCAATATTCCTTATGCAGGTTATTCCACTGGCAAGTCTGAGATACAAAAAAGAAACACACACATGCTTCCTTCCATTTGTCCGAAGGACCCCTGAGCAGCATTGATTGCTCCAATTGCTCGGAGGATTGACTGTCAGCTTGCCTTCCCTCTACATGTCCTCTTAGGTTTGACTTGCAGAACCTGCCAAATTGACTTGATTCTCAGAGACACAGGAGGAGTGTGGGTCTAAACCATCCTCTCTGCTAAACATCACGAAGTTCTGTTAGAACCACTATTGTCCTGGGCGGTGCACACTAAGGTAGGAGAGAGGGGGTGGGGGTGGGGGTGCGCCGTGGTATTTATCAGAGGAAGGGTGGAGGGGGGTCTTCTGACGGGGGTTACCCAAAAAACAAAGAACAAAAAAAAAAAAGAAAAAACACTACTGATGCTGGCAACTGGCTGGCATTCTGCAAATCCAGTTTCTTGCTGTCGCTGTCTCATATTCCGATTAACTAGCCTGGCTGGGGTCTTGTGGGTCTGGTGGTTGGGTGGTCCTGCATCCTGATCCCCGAATCAGAGTTGCGCCAGTCTTTCCATCTGAGGCTGGTGCCATTTATACCTGCTACCTTGCCAGTTACCAACCATACTGTCTTGAACTTAGCCGTGTGCAAGGAATATGAGTGTGAACAATATACAGAAAACCAAATTGCGAAATCACACAGCTGTCCAAGTAGTTGTGTCCCAAGCAGAGAGTACAAAATGCACCGAGAAACCATCCATACAGAGCAATACAATGAAGTAATGAGCCAATGTTCAAGCCCGTAGGCCACACCAACACAGYATCCAGAGTCRCTCTTCTCTGTYTGGCGCCCAGCGCCCAGCCTACTCTACCCGACTATCCTACCTACAGCTGGTTCACGCAACAGGCTCACTTCGACTCTCGAAGACCAATGTACATGACTGTCAACACCATAGCCGACCTCTCTTCATGTACCAGGTACATATCTCATCACCCTCAATCAGACTTTGATTACCCCACACTGCGCCTCCTTCCCTGAAGACCACCAGATCGCCCGCTGTACACCCTGGCGCCCAGCAGCCCGGCTATGGCTGCCTGCGCCCCGCTGCCCTGCAGCGCCCCTCCTCACCACTACGCGCCCCGTCAGCGCCTTTGACGGCAGCGCAGCATCAAGCGAGAGCGCAGTAGCACTTCCACCTTGCCTGCACTGGCCAGAATGCCTGGCCTGGGCTGGCTCACTTCTTCTATGGAAGTGGCAGCCTCCTGCATGCTGCGTGTGGCCTGGCTGGAAGCTTCCAGTAGCTTCCGGTTGGGCCTCAGACCCTGCGCCCAGGCCCGAGACTACAGTTGAGGGTCTGGGCCCTTTTCAGTTGGGCATGGCCTGAGTCTCCGGACTTGGGCTGTTTGCTGCATCTGTGCAGGGCTCCCAGGCAGGTGCGTAGGCAGTACTGCTTTTCCAATCGGCCCTGCTTTGTGTGTATGTGCCCAGGCACAACTGTCAAGGCCTGGGCCAACTGTATGACGCAGCTTAGTGAGGCTCATGCATCTACCCAACCAACTGGTGTGCTGCAAGAGCCTGAATACCCACATATGGAAATGTCGAATTTTGGCCACTGATGAATATTCAGGCCCGCCTTCACTTAGGGCGGGCACTCGGCTTGCTGGGGCCTTAGCCCAGAACATGTGATGGCTGATAGGGCCCCTTGAGGGCTTGTTCCTCACATTCCATCCCCCTTAGCTTCAAAAGTCCGCTGAGATGCTTCATGCTGGTGCCTTCCCCTTCAGTTTCTTCTCATAATCTGCCACGATATGAGGAGCTGTCTTGACCAGTTCCTCCATTGAAATCCATCGATCTTCCTTAGGATCAGTGTGATGCATGAAATGTACTATGTACTCCCTTGCAGGTTTAGGAGATCTTCCCCTGCCAGGTGGCTTGGGAACAGGCGTGTCTCTGTGATCCAGGATGTCGTCGACGTCCACGTGGCCATCCATGGTTGGGGGCAGCAGAGATCTCCGTGATGGGAACTGTGCTGTCTCAGCAAAAGGTGCAAGTTTGGAGGCGTGAAAAACAGGGTATGTGCGTAGGTGACCAGGGATACGAATGACGTACGTGGGACCATCCAAATCATTCCCCACAATGTGTAAGACTTCCCAAGGACCGAAATACTGAGGCATTAGTTTCCTAGAGATGCCAAACTTCTGTCCCAACTCACTAGCCTTGACCCAGACACGTTCCCCTACCTGAAATATGGATTGTCGGCGACGTTTGTTCTCAGAAGCAATCATAGCTTCCTGAGATTTCTTGATGTGTTCGACAGTCTGCTGCAACAGTTTCTCATACTGGACACCAAATTCAATGGTTCCAGGAGTTGCAGCCGTTCGGTTTTCAGGCAGGAGGAAGTCTAGAGCAGATCTAGGCTTCCATCCCAAATGCAGTTGATTAGGACCGACGTCGGTGGTGTTGTGTACAACATTGTTGTACAGGCTGGCGATGAGAGGTAGTTTCTCATCCCAGTCATCCTGGCTGGGCTTGATGTAATGCCTCAGCAGATGCTGCACCACACGGTTCATTTGTTCAGCCTGCCTATTCGCTTCCAGAAGTCATCTGAAGCTAGCTGCCCATCTGTTCAGCGGCCTTCTTCCACATCTTGCTTGTGAAACGCACATCTCTATCACTAACGATTGTCTTTGGCAGTCCAAAATCACCCACCCAATTATCCATGAATAACTTGATGACATGTTCAGTCCTTACGGTCTCCGGCATGGCAATTAGTCTAGCATACTTAGTGAACCTATCAAATATGATGAAGATGTGCCTCTTGCCATTCTTGCTGGTCACGAGAGTATCCATGAAGTCCATGGAGATACTCTGCCCTGGGCCAGCAGGAATGGGTAAAGCCTAAGTAATCCAAGCGGAGCCTGAGTCCGCGGCTTGTCCCGCTGACAGACTTGACAGGTCTGTACGTACTTCTTTGCATCGTCTAGCATGTTAGGCCACCAGAATCGCTGTACTAGATTAGCACGAGTCTTCTTGTAGCCGAAATGTCCCGTTGCGTCATGGCACTCACCTAAGAATAAACTACGCAAAGTCTCCCTAGATGGAACAACTAACCTTTTAAACCCTGCCTTTTCAAGAAAGAGTAACCCATCCACCATCACAAACTCGTCAGAAGTGGCCTTGTCTTTGGCCTGCAGTTTGTTGATGATGTCCATCGTGACGGGATCTTCCTTGTAGGCTTCCCCCAAAGATCGACTCACGTCTTCAGATAAGCCAAATTCAGAAACCAGCGCACCTAGGTAATTTGCCCTTCTCGACAATGCATCAGAAACCTTGTTGTACTCTCCCTTCACATAGTCGAGTTGGAAGTCATATTGATCTATGACTTCAATCCATCGTTTAAGTGCATCGGAGAGAACTGGTTGGGTCTTGATCCACTTGAGGGTCTGATGGTCAGTCCTGAAATAGAAGAACCTACCTAACAGATAGTGCCTCCAGTGGACAAGTATACATGAAAAAAATATATATATATGGGCGTGTAGGGCTCAAAAAACCCTACACGCCTATATTTTTTTTTTTGGAATCCGAGTTTGTTTAAGATTTTTAAAAATAAAAAACTAAAATCGATTTAAACAAAATAAATAAAAAAATTAAAAAAAGGGGTTTGATTGATTGATTGATTGATTGATTGGTGGTGGGGGAGGAGTCGCCCCACCCCCCCGCCACCCACCACGTGCACGCACACACACACACACACACACACACA